TTTTTTTTTTTTATTCTCATGAGTCCTGGTGTCTGTATACTTACCCAGTACTTCCTGCAGTTTTTATACCTCATGAAGTATGCAGAACACATGCTCTTATCATAGTTGTATGCATCCAAACATTTTTGAGAACCATCACTCTCCTATGCCAACACAAACACAGAGAAAATAAAGTTTTAAAATACAAATCTCATTTTACATCATGTCATGATATAACTGGCAATGTAGTTAATCAAACTAAAACTTATTACAATTACAATACTACAATTGCTACCTCTTCACTTATGCGGCACTGAGTGCAAAATTTCACATCAATTTTAAATATATTTAGACAAAAAACATATATAGTTTACATTAAATGAAACGTGTTATTTAGCCACACACTCCATTGCCTGACCTCAATGCATGGGTTGATATCCACATTCCGAACTTTGCATGCACTTGATTTGCCAGCCATTCTCCAACTGCATCTGTGTCACAGCTGGAATGTCAGAGAGCTCCAGTTACATAAGAAATCAGGGATGGGCATTTCTTGTTTTTCCTTTCGAGTACATGACAGATCAGTAAAACATTTACTCATCTACGGAGATGTGCAAAGATACAAAGATAATGAAACCATTTTAATTAAAACATACTTTTGACAGTTGTGGAGAGAAAAGTAACACTTCTATATTATTAAAAATGCATCAGTGTTTTTGAAAAATAAACATATATGAAGGAATGTCACCGTTTTAAATAAATCATGATTGTTCAATCCTGCTCCGGGAGGGCCAGCATCCTGCCAAGAATTACTCCGACCAGCTCCAACACACTAGCCTGGACGTTTCTAGTCGCATCCTATACCGCTATTCACTATTTCCACTAATATAGTCTAGTTGAAAGAGTGAATGAAAACACAAGTGAGCGAATTCAGACACCGAGTGTGCCGGAAGGGCTGCTGCTTTTGCAGTTTGTGCTTGTTGTTTAATAATAATTTGAATCTTAGCAAACTAGTAGCTCCACTAATAATTAAAATATTTATCTTGAACTCGGTCATGAAAACTAGCATATATACACCTTAATTAAACTATAAAATCAATTAAAAAGAAATCTATACCTGTATGACATTACGCTGTACCCACACTGGACAAGCAGGTTGGAAAATGGATGGATGGAGGGATGATTCAGCTGAAGGCGCCATCTTCTGGCGAGACGTGGGAACTAATTCAGCATGACCATCACAGTGCTTTATGGGTGCTATGGGTTAACATTGGTTGTATAGTCATTATTGTGGTCCATTGTAGGATTGAATGAGTGCACTTGACTTGATCATGTTTACTATGGTTTCAGACCCCATTACACATTGCCGTCTCCTCAACTAGTGCCCTATATAAAAGTATAAGGGGTGATTTCGTACACAGCCTGGTAATCCTGAACACCTTGATGATCTGGTTCAGGTGTGTTTAATTAGGGTTGGAGCTAACCTCTGCAGG